GCTATGAGAAGGTTTGTATATTATCCTCGGGGCAATGGGAGGCTTAAGCTGGGGAGAGCTATGATTAAATTTAGTGATTCTCAACCAGGGGTGACTTTGCCCCCAGGGAACATTTGGCAATGCCTGGAGACATTTTTGGCAGTCACAATTAGGAAGGGGGAAGTTGCCACTGGAATCCAGTGGGTAGAGGACAGTGATGCTACTAAACAACAAACACGTATTGAGCCCAAAATGTCAACAGTGCTGAAGTCTTTCTTTAAAAGTTCACTCTGCACTGTTGGTGGGGATGTAAAATGGCACAGCGGGCACGGTGGCTCACACCGGTAATCCCAGCACTTTGGGAGGCTAAGGCAGGTGGATCACCTGAAGTCAGGAGTTCGGGACCAGCTTGGCCAACAAGGACAAAGCTCGTCTCTACTAAAAATACAAAAATTAGCCAGGCCTGGTGGTGGGTGCCTATAATTCCAGCTACTCGGGAGGCTGAGACAGGAGAATTGCTTGACCCTGGGGGCGGAGGTTGCAGCGAGCCAAGATCGCGTCACTGTACTCCCAGCCTGGGCGCAAGAGCGAAACTCCATCTCAAAGAAAAGAAAAAAGGAAAAGAAAAAAAAAAAAGGAAGAAAAACAGTATGGCAGTTCCTCAAAAATTTTAAAATAGAATTTACTTATGATCCAGCAATATCACCTCTGGGGATATATCCAAAAGCATTGAAAGCGAGGTCTCAGAGAGAGATTTGTCCGCCCATATTCACAGTGGCATTACTCACAATAGCCAAAAGGTGGAAACCACTGGAAGAAAGAATAAACAGAAGGTGATATACACACTATGGGCAGCTATTCAGCCTTAAAAAGGAAGGAAATTCTGACACATTCTACAACATGGATGAGTACATTATGCTACGTGATATAAGGACAAACACTGTATCAATACACTTACATGAGGTTCCTAGAGTACTCAACTTTATAGAAACAGAAAATAGAATAGTAGTTGCTAGTGGCTGGGGGAAGGGAGAAATGAGGAGTTGCTGGATGGGTACAGAGTTTCAGTTTTATAAGACGAAAAAGTTCTGGCCAGGCATAGTGGCTCACGCTTGTAATCCCAGCACTTTGGGAGGCTGAGGCGGGCAGACCATGAGGTAAGGAGCTCGAGACCAGCCTGGCCAACATAGTGAAACCCCAACTGTACTAAAAATACAAAAATTAGCCGGGCATGGTGGTGCACGCCTGTAGTACCAGCTACTGGGGAGGCTGAGGCAAGAGAATTGCTTGAACCCATGAGGTGGAGGTTGCAGTGAGCTGAGATCATGCCACTGTACTCCAGCCTGGGTGACAGAGTGAGACTCTGTCTTAAAAAAAAAAAAAAAAAAAAAAATTCTGAGATTGGTTGCACAATAAAATGAATATACTTACCATTACTGAACTGTACACTTAAAATGGTTAAGATGGTACATTTTTCACTATTTGTATTTTATCACAATGGAAGAAAAAAGATCTCTGGCTACTAGGTGGAGAACAGACTGTTGAGTGGGTACTATGGAAGCAAGGAAACTAGTTAGCAGGTTATTGCAATGATCCAGACTAGAGATGATGGCTTGGAGGCTTGGATGTGGTGGGTAGCCATGAGATACCTGGACAGATTTAGGGTATCTTATCTGCTACTGGTCAGGCCGTGGGAATTAGATGATATGCTTAATTCCCTAATACGCCTACTACCTAAGGGGTATTAGGATTAGGTCACTCATCTGATAAATGGCAGAGCTGGGGCTTGAATGCTTGGCTGCTTCTTAAGCTCACACTGTCACTTCCTTTCCAAACATCCACCCTTCCAACATTGTCTCTCAGGACGAGACATCTCACTGGGACAGCATTTGCTGCCGCTTTAGTCTGTTTCATGCTATTGGGCAAACGGTAATGACGTCACAAGAGTGACTTCTAAAAATGGCATGACATATATTTCTCAAAGCCATCAGCTTTAAAATACAGGTTTTATTTCAGATTATTACATACTGAGCTAAGGTTTCTGCCAGCGGTTCACAGTTACACCATATCCTTTGCAGTTGTGCTTTTGCGCGGCTTTAATTGTCATGGAGGCATACAGGAATGTGGTTTTATTTACACCCTGTGGGTGGGATCGCAGAGCTTATTTGAGCTGCCAGCTGAGACCCTTCCACTGCTGCAGAAATTCTTCCCGATACCTGGCCAGGGGGCAGCCAGCAGGTTTGTTTACACCTCTGTTCCTTAATGTTCAGGTTGCTAGGAAACCAGACAAACATCACCAAAAAGGCTGTCTGAGGTCACCGGAGGCCCAGCCTGTGTTGATAGCCACAAATTGCAATCAAGCTTCCCTGGTTGCCAAGGTCTCCTGAAGAGGCTGAGAGTGCACCGGTTGCATTGTGTGGCCAGTTTGTTCTCTCTCTCTCGGGCTTTTCCTTACCTGGCCCAAGAAAAGGCTCTCACGGAGGCAATCAAGGGAGGCTGGTGAAATCTCAGTCTGCTGATCTCAGTCATTATTCAGGGTGTGACTGGATCTCAATAAAGCAGGAAGCCTCTGCTATCTCTGAAGAATACATATGTGCAACAAATGATGGTGTCAGCAGTGTGTGTGTGAGTGTTGGATAGGGAGGGTGAGTGGGGAAACTTAACCACCTCTTCAAGAGGTATTTTTAAGGACTTCCCCTCCCTTTTTCTTAATGGCTGAGTCATAGTAATTGATGCTGCTGCTATGACGCAGGTGTTCTCAAACTGTGGTCCTCAGATCGGTAGCATCAGCATCACCTGGGAACTTGTTAAGAATGCAGATTCTCAGGCTGGGTGCGGTGGCTCGCGCCTGTAATCCCAGCACTTTGGGAGGCCGAGGCGGGTGGATCACGAGGTCAGGAGATCGAGACCATCCTGGCTAACACGGTGAAACCCCGTCTCTACTGAAAATACAAAAAATTAGCCGGGCGAGGTGGTGGGCGCCTATAGCCCCAGCTACTGGGGAGGCTGAGGCAGGAGAATGGTGTGAACCCGGAAGGCGGAGCTTGCAGTGAGCCGAGGTCGTGCGCCACTGCATTCCAGCCTGGGTGACAGAGGGAAACTCTGTCTCAAAAAAAAAAAAAAAAAAAGAATGCAGATTCTGAGGCAGCACCCCAGACATGGTGAATCAGTCACTCTGGAGGTGGGGCCAGCAATCTGTTTCAACAAGACCGCAGAGGATTCTGATATGTGCTCAAGGTGGAGAGCCACGGAAAACTCTGGTCTCTGGAATCTAGCATTTACCAACTGAGTGACCTTGGGCAGTTTATTTCTAGTCCATGAGCCTCAGCCTACCGTGATGAGATATTACATGCCCAGAGCCTGGCATATGTCAGACATGCTGAATTGATCCTTTGCCAATAAAACAAGCTTCACGGTGGCCTATGATTTGTTAGCTAGTAGTTGCAGGTAAAATATGTGTTCAAAGAGAAGCTGCTTGTGGGAAAACTGAAGATTACTGTTTTGATGTGTCCTTTCTTATCTCAAAATCTGAATCACTGCACGTCTTCTATGATTCAGACTCTCCGCTTCTCAGAAAAGAGGAAGCTGGGCCAGAGCATCTGTTCTTCCTGTTGCTCACGGTGCCTAACTGAACTCGTAGTGACTCTGCACACAGAAGGTCAAGAAGACAGAAGGGTCCTCCCCTTCCTCATAGCCCCTCAGGTCTCGGAAACCCCTGGATCCATCGTCAGATGCCCTCCCCTAGGAAACTGATCATTCCTAAAATGTCTAGGAACCCAGACACATCCCCCAAGGGCAGCTACTCCTCCACCACCCAGAGACACTGCCCCTTACCTTGGGGGACAATCTTTAAAGGCCGCTCTGTAACTAGGCTGAGGTTTACAAGTTGTCTTGTGCCCCACCCAAACTCTGAGGCAAAGGTGATTGGTGGCAAGCAAGAGAAAAGAGAAATTATACGTAACTCCTCCCACGCCACCAAGCACTGTTCGCTCTTCACCTCTTAACTCAGGATGGAATACTGAGATTCCGGAAATAATGACTACCAGTCTATCATTATGTTCCAGCCAGATGCTAAGTGCCTTCTATATATCACCTTATTTAATTTTTACAATGACTCCCAAAGAGAGGACTGTATCTCCATTTTACAGATGAGGAAATGGAGGCATAGAAATATTCAGCACTCTGTGGATGCCTATGGTCTCATAACTAGAATTATAATGGAGGCAGGATTCATATGCTTGGGGGCAGAGCCAAGGATGCCACCTCTCAGGCTATGTGATGCTGGCTGCTGTGGAGTTGTTGTTTGTATTTCCTTCCTTCCTTCCTTCCTTCCTTCCTTCCTTCCTTCCTTCCTTCCTTCCTTCCTTCCTTCCTTCCTTCCTTCCTTCCTTCTTTCTCTTTCTCTCTCTCTCTCTTTTTCCCTTCTTTCCTCTCTTCTCTTCTCTTCTCTTCTCTTCTCTTCTCTTCTCTTCTCTTTTCTTTTCTTTCATGGAGTTTCACCCTTGTTGCCCAGGCTGGAGTACAATGGTGCCAGGAGGTTGCTCACTGCAACCTCCTCCTCCTGGGTTCAAGTGAATCTCCTGCCTTCCTGCTTCAACCTCCCAAGTAGTTGGGATTACAGGCATGCAACACTACACTGGGCTAATTTTGTATTTTTTAGTAGAGATGGAGTTTCATCATGTTGGTCAGGCTGGTCTCAAACTCCCGACCTGAAGTAATCCACCCACCTCGGCCTCCCAAAGTGCTGGAATTACAGGCGTGAGCCACTGTGCCCGGCCTGTTTTTATTATTTTTCTTTTGTCTTTTTTTTTTTTTTTCCTTTTTGTGGAGAACGGGGTCTCGCTATATTACCCAGGCAGGTCTCGAACTCCTGGGCTCAAGCTATCCTCCCGCCTCTGCCTCCCTGAGAGCTGGGATTACAGGCGTGAGCCACCGCGCCCGGCCAAGGGGAGTTGCGCTTATTTTTTTTTTTTGTCTTTTTTTTTTAATTATTATTTTTCTTAATGCACGGCACGAAATTTAAAAATATGGACTTCACGAATTTGCATGTCATCCTTGAGCAGGGGCCATGTGACTCTTCTTTGTATCATTTCAGTTTTAGTATATGTGCTGCTAAAGCAAGCACTGCTGTTGAGTTTTGATGGTTCGACATCCTTGTACAACCTGGGCTTCAGGGGACAATTGAAGTGGCTGTGGTCTTAACCTGGGTTACACATGGGAATTGCCCAGGGACTTTAAAAAAAAATCACATCTGGGTCCTCCCCAGAGTTCCTGATGTCATTGCATTGGGTTGAGGATTGGACTCTGGGAGTTTTGAAAGCTCTTCTGATGATTCCAACAGCAGCCAGAATGAAGATACTCTGCCACAGACCTGAATGAGGCTTCAGAGGCATGCAGGCCCCTGGGCGTGTGCAGGTGGGTGGCCGCCCTGTTGATGGAGACTTGGCCTTTATTTTTAGGCCCTTTCTGATGTAATCTCCTTTTCACAAACAAACAAAGAAACAAACAAACACAACAATAAACCTCATCCAGTCCCCCAAGCTTTCCACCAGTGTGGAAGCTGGCATTTCTACAAGCCTGAAAGGAGAGGGAAACTTTGCGCCTTTCAGAAGAAAGTCTGACTTTGAGGAACGCGTTTGACCAGCGTCTCACTCAAGTCTGTCTTCCTGGATATTAACAGCCCCTTTTTCCCCAAAGATAGAAATAATACATTCTAAATACATCAACCTGTTTTCTACAAAAGCTTCTTATGTATTAGAAGGTAAAAAGTACCTTGATTTGGTAATAAATAAGTAGCATGATTTTATTTTTTAAATAAACACCCCCAGAGTTTCTAAAAACAAGAGAGTATTTTGCTCCTCAAATACATCTATTTGAGAATCTATGAGAGGGACCTGTTTTAAGGATGTGATCATTCAACACTCAATGGGATTTTTCTTCCAGAATTGCCTTAGAACTGCGTTAATAATAGACATCCCAAGGTGATTTTAATCATTGCTCTGCTGTTTCATCAAACTGGATTTACTTCATTCTTTGATGACTTTATTTCCCCAATGTGGCTCTGGATAAAGTCTGATAATTTCTGATATTCAAATTATCCTAAGAGAATTAATGCAAGAACTTAAAACCAAATACCACACGTTCTCACTTGTAAGTGGGAGCTAAATGTTGAGTACAGATGGATATAAAGATGGGAGTAACAGACATGAGGAACTACTAGAGCGGGGAGGCTGGGAGGGGGCAAGGGTTGAAAAACTGCCTATTGGATCCTATACCTGGGTGATGGGATCATTTGTACACCAAACCTCAGCAACACACAACTTACCCAAGTAACAAACATGCACATGTACCCCCTGAGACTAATATAAAAGTTGAACAAAATAATTGGAAATGTTTCTAAAAAGAACATTTCTCTAGATTTTTCTAGAGAGAGATCCTGAGGACTCGTCGTTCAGTGAGTTGTCCTAAATCCTTTTTTGGAATGGTGTTGGTGGGTGGGGAAGGACAGGTAAGTAGAATGACAGCTGGTTACATTGATGGTGCTGGTCTTTGGAGTTAATCTGGAGGTAAAGTTCCAGCCCCATTAAATAATCAAGTAACCTGGCATCATTACCGAACCTCCTGTGCTTCAGTTTCATCAGCTGTGATATGGGGACAAGAACATCTCGTGATTGTTTCATGGTTATTTCCAGAACGTCTGTGAAGCGCATGGCACACAGTAGATACTTTAAATGGTAAACTATTATGATTTAATGAAGACATTGCCTGATGAACTTTTTCCTGAATACCTGTTAAATACAGAACAGATACAAACCAAGTAAAATCTTGGCCTCTGACGTTTGAAACTCACATTCATTTATGCAAAGAGCCAACGAATGTTTATTGAGCTCCTACTGTATTCTGGGCCCTTCTAGGTCCACGTGCTAGGAGGGTTAAGAGCAGAGGAATTCCATTGCAGATACCCATACATTTGCATCTGGAGTTGACAAAGTCACCCAGGTGGGGTGGCTACAGCAGGCATAGACCAGTAGAGGGGATAAGGCCCTTCAGGTGAGCCCACTGAGGAACAGACCTTCTGGGGGTCACTAAAAGACCTCCTCAGCCAGGCCACCACCCTACCACTCACTTCAGTCCCTCAAGTTAGGGAGAAGGAGGCTGGAAGCTGCCACCTGTTGCTAGCAGGTAAGCCTGACAAGTGGATATGGGCCTTTTCTTTTCCCTTTTTTTTTTTTTTTTTTTTTTTTTTTTGAGACAGAGTCTCTCTCTGTTGCTCAGGCTAGAGTGCAGTGGTGTGTCTTGGCTCACTGCAACCTCCACCCCCCAGCCGGGTTCAAGCGATCCTCCTGCCTCAGCCTCCAGAGGAGCTGGGACTACAGGCATGCACTACTGTGCCCAGCTTTTTAAAATATTTTTAGTAGAGATGGGGTTTCACCATTTTGGCCAGCCTGGTCTCGAACTTCTGACCTAAAGTGATCCTCCTGCCTTGGCCTCCCAAAGTACTAGGATTACAGGTGTGAGCCACTGTGCCTGGCCAATGTAGGCCTTTTCTAAATTGAGATTTGGAGTGCAGTAAGTTGTTTGCCTTCATCGGAGGGTGGCAAGTGCAGTCGAAGGGAGCCCTGGTTCTGTGCCAGCCTCTTTTTAATTTAATTTAATTTTATTTACTTATTTATTTTGGAGAGAAGTTTTGCTCTTTTTGCCCAGGCTGGAGTGCAACGGCATGATCTCAGCTCACTGCAACCTCTGCCTCCTGAGTTCAAGTGATTCTCCTGCCTCAGCCTCCCAAGTAGCTGGGATTACAGGTGTCTGCCACCACGCCTGGCTAGTTTTTGTATTTTTAGTAGAGACAGGGTTTCACCATGTTGGCCAGGCTGGTCTCAAACTGCAGACCTCAGGTGATCTGCCCGCCTCGGGCTCCCAAAATGCTGGGATTATAGGCGCAAGCCACCGTGCCCAGCCCGCCATCCTCTTTTTTAAACCATTATTAAGTTCTCTCTTTTCTGGCAGGTGTCTGCTGGGGTTCTGATAGGTATTTCCTCTGAGCCATATGATGAATTGTGTCCAAGGGTGATAGATCAAGGAGGAAAACAAACCCCCAAACCAACAAAAGGAAAGAAACATCTTATATTTGATCAGATTTAAAGGTGTCTCAGTTGTGTCTCATGGGTATGTTTTCCTTGGTTTTCACAGGGATCCCACGAGCTTGGCAGGAGTGTGTGATCTCACTTCATAGGTGCAGGCACAGCACTAATGGAAGCTGAGCACGGATGACAGAACTGGAGACAAGCTACTGGGAACCCAGGTCCCTGGGAGGTGGCCCCGGCCTCTGAGGTGAGTCTGTATTTCTCTCTGTATCAGAAGCTCCTCCTTGGAAATGTGGCCGTTGCGATGCTGTTTGCCTTTTTGGTTCCAATTCTCTGGTTACTCTTCATAACTGCCCTATGCTGCGATGTCTGGCTGTCTCAGCTCTGCTTTCAGGAAAGAAGAGAAGGGCTTGTTCGCCCAATTTGGGCCAGAGTTTTAAGGGAAAGGAGGATGACTCTGGGATATAATATTGGGGCCACAAGAAGCTGAGTAGGATGAAGATAAGACCCAGGAGAACAGCAAGGGGACTCGGGTATTAGGAGAGCACCCTTCTGCACATCTTAGCTGGGCCTGTGTGTGTGACAGAAGTGACAAGTTGCTTTCTTTCCTCTGTTCTTAAAACGACTAATTTGGGCAAAGAAGAAAAAAAATCCAAGTCTCTAAAAGTTGAAAGAGTGCTTGCCCAGTCTTCTTCCTGGAGGAGCAAATGGGAGAAGTGAGGTGTTGCCACCCATCTGCTGGGTTGAATGAGAACCTTGGCAGCCTGCCATGCCTTAAATGTCCCTTGGGCCCTAGTGACTGAGCCTTATCAGGGTAAGCGTAGAAGAGAGGGGCTCAGGACGGTCACTATATTTGTAGCTTGTAACAGTCCTAACTGGAGGGTTGACTTAAGTTGAAACTATATAATCTTATTCATAAAATGGGGATACTTAAGCTGCATAATTTCTGAGATCCTTTTAGTTTGACTTAGTTTAGTTAAATTGTTTGATTTGAAGAGGAGAATGAGAAATTCAAATTTTACCCAGGTATTTCTGATCCATTTGGTCTTATATCCATAAGATAGACATACGGACTTTGAAGAACTTAAAAAAAAAAAAATACAGGTTTCTACATTATCTACTTGGTAGGGATAATCTAATATAGTCCCATAATGCATAACCTCAATTATTATATAAACACTCACTGAGAATATATATGACTACCAGTGTCTAGACGGGGTCCTGCTCTTTTCCTGTTTGCAATAAAGCTGGGGGAAATTCATATACATCAGAAAAAGAACACATGGAAAATTGATTAAAGGCCAAAGCAGAAGTAAAAAATGTTACAGGACCTCTAGAGGAATGAACGGAAGCATTTGGCTTGCAAGAATGAGGAAGCTGACTCAGAAGACGGGCCTTAGAGAATGGCAATTATTTCTGTTCTATTAGAGAGAATGGAGGAGGTGATTCCAGGCAGAGGGGGCAAGCGAGCAAAAACAGGGAGGCCTGGAAACACGTGACGTGTTCAGGTCCCAGTGAGGCATAAGCAGAAGGAAGGGGGTGAGTGACGAAAATATTGGCAAGGAGTTAAACTTGAATCAGATTATGGAGACCTTGAAGGTCAGATAAATACAGACACATAGGCGATAGGGGAATTATTTGTTTAGATCTGTATTTAATTATAAATGATTATTACCAAGTGGCATTATTATCAAGAGGAATTGATTTGGGTGAGACTGGAGGCAGAGGCCAGTCCGAGAGATCTGTTGTTTCGGGAGATTTATACTGTGGGCCCAAGCTGGGGGAGGCTCGAGCATGTGCAGGGAGCTTCGGAGTCTGCTACACCTTCCCATACAGCCGCTGCTGTCATAGCTGGTACACCAAGTCATGCTGGTAGAAATGTAGTATAAGTAATTCCATTTACAATGAGGAAAATGAGACTGAAAGTGGTTAAATGACTTTTCCAAGGTCACCCAAGAACCTGATCCATCATCAAGTGTATTGTCCACCAAGCAATGGAAAGCAGGGGAAGTGACGTCTGCACCTCCGCCAGCATCATCCA